CAATGATCATACTATGTATGGGAGCAGAGCAGGGATAGGTGGTGGATAGTGGTGAGTCTGCAGCTGGTAGGCGGAGCTGACTCCTATGGATGTTTTGTTTTGTTTTGTTACGGCTACTTGATATAGTGGTTTTGGATGTATTTTGTACTCTACACTCTAACTCTAGTCGGATGTAGGACATTGTATATACTTATATTCTAGACACTATATTTATATACTCGTTCTATCCTGTCTCGAGTTTCCGGTGTATTGTGATGGTGAGTGTGGTGACCTGCCGGGTCGTTACAATAGTAAGAGGTACGAAATATAAAGATTTAATATATTGATACGCATATTCTATAATGGGTATGACATTACCCATCATTAAATATGAATATTTTATGATGGATAAGACTTAACCCGTCATAAAATATTTCATACTGTGATATATAATTAACAATCATTTTATATACAAAGATAATGTTTCATACTGTGACAGTCTTTCATATCTTTTTGGTTCTTCACGTTCTTAGGGACATGTTCCCAACTCTCAGAAGTAATGGAGGCCTTGCTCCTCCCAATTAAGGCATTGCTCCTCGCAATCTTTATACTTCGTAAAGCTTTACCAGCAATTCTTCCATGATAATGAGACTTAGATACCCCCAGAGATTCAACTTTCGATAGGTATTCAGTACAAAACTCTATAGCTTCATTTACAATATATCTTTTAGCAATTGATGCTTTTGGATAGTGTTGATTCTTCACATTTCCTTTTAATATCTTCATGCATTGCTCAATTAAGAACAATGGACAACAAAATCTATCATCTCTGAGTAAATGAACGATTAAGTGAACCATAATTTTGAAAAATGATGGAGGAAAATACATCTAGGATCAACTACTTTACTACAAATTATGTTAAAGAAGAAACACAATCTTGCGATATCATGTCTAACATTCTTAGGTAATATGTCTCAAATGGCCATCGGGAGCAATTGTTACATCAATACATGACACTCGTGAAATTTTAAACCTAAAAATTTAAGATCTTTCATTGAGACAAACCTCTTGACATTGAAAGAATAACCACTTGGAACCTTCACGCCTCGTAAATACTCCCAAAAACTTTTCTTTTCCTTTTTTGACAATGTATGATATGTTGGGGGCAAAAATGTATGCTTACCATGAGTTTGTAAAGCTAATTGTTCCCTTATACTCATGTCAATCATATCTAAACGAGCATTTACTCCATCCTTTGTCTTTTCCTGAATGTTAAAAAGTGTTCCAATAATACTATCACAAACATTTTTTTTTCACATGCATGACATTTATACAATGTTTGACATCAAGTATCTTCCAACACAACATATAAAAAAATATTGACCTTTTCTTCCATATGTTTTTCTCAGTTGGTTGTTTTTCATTCTTCCCAAGTACCACAATTAAGTTTCTCACCTGTTCATAAACTTGGTCACCGGTTAAAGGCATCAGAGCTACTTCATTTTCTTGAAGACCATTAAATGCTTTCTTCAATCTATGCCAAGGATGATTATGACTAAGAAATCTTCAATATCTAAGGTAAATTGATTTCCTTCCATGATACAATTGAAGGTGACATGTATCATTTTCACATAGGGCAAACTTTGTGTCCTTTAACAATGTAGCTGCTTACGTTGCCATAGGTAGGAAAGTCATTAATTGGGCAAAGATATGACATGCATGTTAAAAGTTTGGCCAGAAAATCTGTCAAACCCATCAACTTCTTCGTCCCACAACATTCACAAGTCCTTAAATAAGGGTCTTAGATAAACATCAATATCGTTTTTTGGTTGTTTTGGACTCGAAATCATCATATATAACATCACATATTTATGCTTCATGCATAACCATGGGGGTAAGTTGTAAATCATTATCAAGACAGACCATGAACTATGTTTACTACTTAGGTTACCATATGGATTCATCTCATCTGTAGCAAGTCTAAGCCTAAGGTTTCTTGGATCATTGTCGAAATTTGAAAAAATGAAATCTATTTTTTTTCATTGCAAAGGATCAATTAGATGCCTTAGTTGTTCATCTTTCTTTCACCCATCTACGTGCCACCTAATGTTTTTGGGATCATGGACATTAACAAATAAACGCTTCAATCTTGGAATAATAGGAAGATAATAAAACACCTTCGTAGGAGGACCTTTGCTCACCCCACTTTCAAAGTTATCTTCCTTTAGTTTTTATCGTGATACCCCACAATGTGGGCACTCATATAAGTTATCAAATTCTTTTCTGTACAAAATGCAATCATTGGGACATGCATGAATTTTTTTGTACTTCATACCCATTGGACACAATATCTTATTTGCATAATAAGCATGTGTTGACAACATGTTACCTTCGAGAAACATGTCACTCAATAAATCAAGTAATTCTATGAAATTTTTATCAATCCATCCATTTTTTGCCTTAAGATTGATCAATCTAAACACGGTATACAACCGTGTAAAATTAGCACAGTTTGCATACAATGGTTTCTCATCATCACTACATAAAGTATCATACAAGTGTGTACGTTTGAAAGAATTAGACTCAACATCACAAATCATGTCCTCTAGTTGATTGTCCATCTCTGAATCAACTTGTTCATTTTTGTGTTTAATGAACTTCTACACGTGACATGTCTAACAATTCACCATGCCATATTTACAAGAATGTCATCATGCCATTTTTTATGTCATGTGGATAACACCCATCATAGAAAGTATGTCAGGAAATATATAATTTGCACTATGTAAACACCAATTTTGTTTCCTATATTTTTCCACCAATTTTCCTTAATTTCACCCATTAATTTCTTTCTCAAATCATAATTAGAATAATAATTCATTCCAATAAAATAAATTATCTTTAGAATAATCAATAATTTAAAAACCATATTTAAACTCAAATAAAAATATATACATATATAAAAAAAGAAAGAATTAGAAAAGAACAAAGAAAAATGGAAACCAAAATTTTCTTTGTATCAAATCTCCGCCACCTTACACTCTGTTGTTGCCTTCTCCGCTAGCCACCAACAAGCCTCCAGAAATCCCACTTTTGCCAGATATGTAACCAAAGCCTCAAGTCTATCATCGACTACTACTGAAAAAATGAAGCTATCAAAGAAATCAATTTGGGACACAATTCTATAAATATGATAACATAACATGAATAAGAGGTTGAAAAAGTTTCAAATAAAGAACCACCAAGTGACTAATTACTGAGAGTGAGTAGAGCTCAAGCAAAAAGCAAGTAGAATAAGAAATGAAGGTAGTGTACAATCAAATTTAGATATCAATATTCTATATAATTTTGTTATGTATATGATTATTTTCTATTTTTAAAATAACATGTATTCAAATCAATTTCTAATCACATTGTAAATCAATTTTGTGAATCTTTTTCACCCTTTAAATCAACCAAAACCTTCATTCTTAAGCCTCAGCCAAGGGTTTTCTACTCGAAAAATGAATCATCATTAATTTTTAATAATTTGGGAGTGAGATAAATATTTTAAAAGTTTTGCTTGATTAATTAGAGATAACTATCTTTATGATAGACGTTGTAAGGTACTAATATATTTCTTATACATAATCGACTTTCGAACTCAAAATCTGATTTCGTAGATCATTTTTTATTTTATAATTTTTTCAATATTTTTTCATAAAAATAAAATATTGGTGATGACTTCATGTTTTTAATATATTTCCGTCATCCCGTTGCGATCTGGTTTGTGACACATTAGTAATAGTTGAATTGTCCATTCGATCCATACAACACATGTTGAGACTATTCTCCCAAATTTTGAGAATTTAGGGTAACAATTAATCATTTTTTTTTCCAACGAAAATATTATTTGTTGTTTCATCAATCGATAAAAATTATTGCGTGTAATCTACATTAAAATGAGAATTGAATTTATAAGAGTTCAGATCCTATTCAAAATAAATGTGATTTGGGTTAAACCAATTTGAGCGAATAAAGGTCTTTAGATATTAATGTTATATAGGATAAACTAATTGTAAGAGGGGTTCACTTTTTTATTTTGTGTGTGCATTAAAGGTATTCACAGTTGATAGTTAAAAACTATTTTTAAGGTCTCAAAGGTTATCATTTCCGTGTAATTTTTATATCCACATAATTAAGGATTAAATCTTAATCAATGTATTTAATGAATTTAATTATGTGTTAATTGTACTGAATTTGGTTGATAAAGGATATCATTTTTTTACTATATATTTTTATCAGTATGAATAGAATTCAATATTAAAGAGTTGCAAATTGCAATCATGTACACATCATTACATCAAAATTAGTCTTTTGTAGCTATTATTTTGTTCTTTATTGACCATATAAATTATCATTATTTTTTTTACCAGCAATTAAATAATGGGTGGTGTATTCAGTGTTGTTAATATTATTACCGACATTTATATAGAATACTAGAGAAGACCCACTAAATTGTCAAGAAAACTTATTTTTTTAGTGACAATTCTAGTACTCATTTTAAAGGTCATTAAAAATTATTATTTTTTCAATTGTCTCCTTTCCATTCATTTAGTGACTTTTATCTATTGCAAGTAAAACCTTAAATAATTTATTTCAATCATTTCCTTTTCTAAATTCACAACTTATATACTTTTTATCTCTAGTCGACGTGAGATTTAAGTTTTTTCTAATAAATATTTGTCATTAATAATAAACTTTAGTGTAATATAAATATATTTTTAGCAATTATTATATATTAGTCATTAATATTTTTATTATATAATTAAATAGTGACAATTAATTTATTGTCATTAAATAATTGTCGTTAATAATAAATTTTTTTGTTGTGCACACAACTTTATTTACTAGATTGTTGGGATATGTTTTAAAAAAATACTTCTAATATATAATTATTTTTATTTTCAAAAATACTTTTTTTTTAAAACTTTTCAAATATGATAAAATTATTTTTTTAAAAGAGAATTTGTTCGGTTATCATAAAAGGATATTAGACATTTTTAAATTTAAAACTTCTTAAAGAGATCATAGCCACCAAAATATTGCAGCATATAAAGGTGCACTACAAGTACAACAATTGAGTTGTGTCATCTAGTTTTATTGGTTTATTCAATAAATTATAAGGGAGTTATTGTTTTGTTGAGAACATATTTTGAAATGATTTATTAACGATTAACTTATATTTTTCTTGAGATGTGGAATTTAATAGTAAAGTC